TCTCTCTCTCTCTCTCTCTCTCTCTCTCTCTCCGCGTCTCTCTCCGCGTCTCTTTCCCCTTCTTACTGCCCCCACTTTCTACTCTTGCGCGTCGATTTGATCAGCTGCACGCAAGGAGAAGAGGCGACCGACCCACAGCAATTCGGCGTTCAGGGCGGGGCAACGAGCTGGCAGGAAGCAGACGGACGAGACGAGACGAGACGAGACGAGACGAGGCATCGGACGAGGGTGAAGAGCAGTAGCTTGTCTGCCAGGCACGCACATCCACCACCACGACAAGCTTCCTGGTCCCCAGCTAGACCTCTCTCAACCCCCACACCTCCCCATCTACCCGTTGCGACACGACGCGACGACCCGCAAGCTCTCGCAGGTGCGGAAGGAGTCTAGACTGCATCATCACGATAGCACACCCGCTCAAAAGCCGCCTCTGTCGCCCCATCTAATCCAGTCAAACTTGACCTTCACTCGCCTGCACCGCCAGTCTCTGCCTTGACTGGTTCAGCAGAGCGACGCTTGCCAATTCTTGCAGCAGTGCATCGCTCCATCCTAGCTTGATTGCATCTGTTTACCTCTCCCGCTACGCCAATCATGTCTGGTGAGTCTTGAGGACTGCATCGCCAAACGAGGTTGCTCAAGCTGACGTGAATCAGGATCGCCTCATGCAGCCGTCTACTCGATCTACACTTCGCCCAACCATGCACCCATCCCTAACCATCTGCCCACGCTCATCGTCACACCCTACGGTCAACCTCACCACACTCTGTAAGTATGATGTGCCTGTATGCACCCGTCCTTGCGGATCTATGCTGAAGAGTTGTCCACTCCGCTTCTTCCTTCAGCTACTCTTACATTCACACTTCCTTTAACCGCGAGACGTACCTCTTGACCCCGTACGTGTACCCTCTTGCGTTCAGTACATCATTGCGAGCGCTCCTTCTTACGCAGCCTGGTCACATCCCTCAGATCCCCTCAAGGTGACCTATGCGTTGCCAAGATGGTCCCTCCCCCCGGGTCTCGGGGTCCAGGAGGTCCCGGTCACTCGGATCCAGGTCACGGAGCAGATCCTCATAGAGATCGATCAGTGCGCTGCGAAGCTTCAAGGAACCTCAAGTGGTCCATCACCAATACAGGTATCCACGCTCCTGTCTACAAGCTGACGCTACCCAATCCGGATGTGCCCGGTAGCGAGCAGCCTTTGTTTCAGATCAGCAAACCCAACCCCAACGCTACGTGGTGGACCTTGTTCTACTTTACTTACGCCGGTCATCTCATCCCGCCCAAGCGCATCGAATTTGGCAAGATTCAAAAGAATGCAGCGTCCGGCAGCAGCGGTAGCGGTGGTGGTGGTGGTGGTGGTACACGAGTCAGCATCACTGGCAAATCTCCCGAGGAGAAGGCTGTTTGGCAGACTCTGGGAGAGGGCAATGAGGATATGGTAGAGTGGATTGTGCTTTGCGCAGCGCTCAACGTGCTGGACGAAGAGATCATCAAGGCTGCTGAAAAGTCGGGCCTGACCAGACCTCAGGGTGGAGGAGCTGGAGGCGGTGCGCCTGCAAGGGCTGTTCCCTCAAGCAGACCAGGTCCTACACTATCTCAACGACCTGGCCCGGCGCCTGCTCCGTTCCAGAGCCAAGGAGGACGAAGCAACAGCGTACCTGGTCATGGAGGGGGTCCTCCGGACCCAAGAGGGTACGCTCAACATCAACAGCAGCAGCAACATTACGCTCAGAGACCTCCACCGCCGCAAGGCTATCCTCAGGGTGGAGGAGGGGGAAGAGGAGCGCCGATGTCTCATGGTCAGCAGCAACCGCAAAGCTACGGTCCAGGTCCTCAAGGCGGCGGGTATGGAAGACCTCCACCGCCGCAGCAACAGCAAGGCGGTGCAGCGGGTGGCTATGGTCAAAGAGGCCCACCACCTCCTCAGTCCGCTGGTAATG